CCCTGTATAGGCGAAATTTCGAAAAACCGACAATTCTCTGTAACACTATAGCAGTTGCGTCCCCTAGTGGTGAATTTACAAACTTGAAAATATTTTAAATCAATTTCCTTTGGCTGTATTTGTTGATAGATTTTTTACTCCATAATCGTAGCACGTCTAGTTTCCAATATACAGCCGCTCGATACCATTAATGGATCACCCTGTATAGGTATTTTATTTATAACTTACATTACACTTTTGTTTTGGCGCCACTATGCTTTTGATACAATAATAAGTTTTAATTGTTAGTTTTTAATGAAGTACATTAAAAATATTGACAAATGATTAATCGTTAATTGTGGAAACTCACGACTAACAATTAATTAATTGTTAGTCGCGAGTTTTCACGATTGCAATTAATTAATTGTTGATTTTTAATTGTCCAACAATTTAATTTTGCCCAACATTTGTTACTAGAAAACAGGTATTTACTTTTACGATTCTTTACCGTTAACTCTTCTGAAAAACTAATTCAAGTTTTTTAATTTATTTAGAATTATTTTATAACTAAAAGTGAGTTTCGCTTATTATTATCCCCCATTAAAAAGAATGAAAAAATCTCGATCTTCCTTTAAATGTTTTATACTACAAAATTAAAATTTTCATTAACAAGAATTTAGAATTAAATTTGGAATTTGGCTTAATGTTTATCTTTAACATTTTGCTTCAGTGCTTTGGAAAAGTTGTAACTGAGGCTAAAGTGAGGAAAAATAAAAAATATTATAAAGGTTATTATAACTTGCTTAATATGCTCGAGGAAGTACAGTCTATCACACATGCTATTAAAATTGTCCAAAATTGACATATAACGGGTCGAACTGCGTAATCAGAACCGTACTTACTGCGTAACATAATCGTTTTCACTTATGCGTATTATTAACGGTTTAATTTTATTGATGTTGTATGATATTACGAATTAATTTAAGATATCTAACAATGATTTAGTTGATGAAGTGGCTGAATAAGAAATAGAGTAAAAACACATAGTATTTTGTTGTATTTTAAATCAAATTAGTTTTACTTCTTTTTACAATAATTAGTAGCGTATGTCTATCCTGTAATAAATAGTAATTAATATTTAATAAATTATGCAAAAAAATATATGCGCCTTTATTAACTACCACCACGTAGGTACTAAATATCTCGCAAATATCTCAAGTGATTTCGAAAATATTAATTAATTTCCTTCTTTTTCCTAAAATGTTATCACCCCGTATTTTCGCAACGGAACATTTTTGGACTATAGTTTATAAAGCAAACTATCATTAATTTTCCATGTAGAATCACACCCGTAAATGTTCGCGTATCATTCAGGAACACCCTGTATATGGTTATAGGAAATTTTTGTTTTGTGACGCAGATTCTGCCGTTAAAGTTTGATCATATTATATTATAGTTGCACTCTATATAATGTGAAATCATTCAAGAACCAATAAGCTACTTGAAATATCTTTAATCATATAATAGCATAGCATAGGGCCATAGGGTATTATTTTTTGTGTGAAATCAGTGTCGTCATATACAAACTACATTAATCGAAATACGAAGCAATTATAAAATTTTACTACTTGGTAGTTTCAAACGAGACGAAATAAGGTCAGTTTTGCATCTCAAAATATTCATTTTGCAGTTGAACATTTTATACGTCAACACTAAGTAAAAAATTAAAAATATTTCACTTTATAATTATGAAGCTTTACTCACCACCTAGTAATTGAATTCACGAAACCTGAAATATAATTTATGTAGTTAAATAAACGACCAAGTTTATTTAATTTAAATTAATAAATTAGACAATTAGAGCAGTTAGAAAATTGCTACGTCATAGTACCTAACTATAAAAGCTTCGTCATGGGTGGTAACTTCTTAATTACTTGCGGTAATGTTTTTTTCTCTGTGTCTATATTTAAGTAAACATTTCGTTGATGCATGAAGAAATATTAGTTAAAGTTAAATATACCGAAACAAAAGAAAATATCACCTTTTTATGATTGAAACTCGAATAGCTGACATTCATTGTGACCTGTTTCAAATTGAATATAATTTTCCCGAATGAAATACATGATGCATATTGATGTCTTGTGCTAATATTTTAACAGCAAATATTTATTTTTTTACATTTAAAAAAAAACTGAAGAAGCTTTATGCAAATGCAAATATTTGTTTTATATTGTTCAGTTCTTAAAATGTCGGAACATTTTTTTATTATGAATAATTAGTTTTTCACGAAAAAATATTGGTTAATTGGTCTACACATAACAGCATTTTCAAAATTTCGCATATTTTATTCTAAATCACTTTCAATTAATCTGAGGTAAGACAACATTCCCTTTAATATTGGTTTAATCCACAAAACACGTAAATTGTAATTTAACGTCTACACATGAGCAAACTTTTTTGGTTGGTTACGTTCATTCAGCTTCACTTTCAAGGCAGTGAATCGTAAAAGGTGTACAAATACAGTTTTTTTGCGCTTGTGCAGGTTTTACTATAATACGAACTATGAAATAAATATACCTAATAAACTTTCAATTATTGTAAACTTATTTCCGTTTTAAAAGTCATTATTAAGAAACTTTTAATAAATTAAATGAAGACAGACAAATACATAGTCGTATGTGCTGTTGTAATGTGTTCGACAACTGTTATATGCATTTCAAAATTATATCAAATTTCTTTTAAGCTAAAAGAAACACCCTGTATATGCATAGTGCATAGATGAAAATTTTATCAAATATTTTGTGTATCCTATTGTAAATATGCGTTCTGGTATAAAATAATTAGTTATATCAACATGGGAAAACTTGCAGGATATTTCAAAGTAAATGTAATATTATTCCTTAGGTGAGATACTGTCACAGCATACTGTCGCGGATGTTGGTAGATCAGTTCATTTGGAAAAACAGCCTCACGTTGGGCGCCATGTCGCGGGTTTCGATAGATCATTGACTTTGGTTATGCATTGTGATTGGTCTGACTAGCTGCGGAGTTGACCTACCATCATATCCTCTTAGCGTATTCAGTCGTAAACCCTCATAATGGGTCTGAATGGACGTTTCTGTGTAGTTCCGTTTTCACCTGCGGTGCTGGTACGTTAGTCGCCCGTATCGCTGATGAGAAGTTCCCAAGTATTTCGAGCAGTTCTCCTTTAACGTTAGCCACAAGGAACGTCAGGGAAAGAAGAGGAGACTTTCGTTCTTCCTCCGTTGATAAAATTTACTGTGCTTTGGGTTGATGTTTCACGCTCTAATTGTTTTGGTTGATCTAAGACGCTTTTTAGCCACTTGAACTTTATTCTATAGAAAATTTGTATGATTTAAATGTTTTTATGTAACGGGTTTTCAATGAAACCCTGTATATGGTTACATTATGTTTGTTTGATCACTGGCGGGTGTGCTACCCTAATCTCTGAAAATCACAGCCTATTTGACTGGCTAAAATCACTTAAGTTTTATCGTGTACGGCCTCCTTAGAGTGCCGGCACTGTAAGCTTTAAAAGCTTCGTATGAATGACAGCGTAAAAACTGTTTATCTATGGCAGCGTGAAAGCTATGTGTGTGTGTGAACGTTGCGCTATGTTTGATAATTTTTAAGATAATTATTATAACATGAAATGCGGTTTCTTTAAAAATGCATGAGCTTTATTGATTTACTTAAATAGTAATACAATGTTTGCAATGCAGTAGTTGCTTATTATACAATACAAATCTTGGAGATTGGATCGAGTACACACTTTGACCAGGCATCCGTGCTCTGCTTAATAAACTGCGGGAAACCTGAGTTGGTGTTCGTACACTGGTTGAGTGGTTTCCCTCGAACGCGGGCGGTCAGGTTTAGATCCCGAAAATTTGCAGTTTGAAAATATGCCTTCTCGACAATTACGAGTGGCTCTGAGGAGTTGAATGGATAAAAATTACTTTGAGTATGAATTTGAAATCTCTAGGATGTTTTTATTTTCGTCATTTTTTGGAAAGGGTGGTGGAAAATTCTAGCGATCCTTGCGCTTGTCGGCTACCTCGAGGAGAGAACTGCATATATTGTCGTCGTCCGAGGGACTCTTGGCGGTAACTTTCTCATCCGGGCTTCGCGGGTAAATTTTAGAAAGATGCGTGAAATTGATGTTTTCTTCCCGCGTCATCGGAGGGTTATAGCGCTATGTCACATACGTGTCCGCTTCGTTTAGGGCATTTGCGACGCGCTATCGGCATTCAGGGCTTCGTCATTGTGGCAGCAGAATTTTCGGTGATGCCGCTGACCAATTATTTTAGATGTTTACTAAATATTGAAGATATAATTCAATGCTGGACGAATCGTGCAGCTCGCAGAGAGATTAGTACCAAAATTTTATTAAGAGACAATATTTTGCTCAATGCTGTATAGAGAAACAATGGAATTTCCACACAATCGAAATAATTTCAACCGAGACGAGGATCTAGAACTACCTGAAATTTGCAAACGGCTTGTATGTAAAAATCAAAAACCGGACCGGACCGTCCCAAAACCAGAACAACACAGACTATAAACACAACAAATGTAAATACCGGCAAGACCGCTTAATATACAGTTCTGAAGAAGAAAGCGATATGGCGGCAAGAAATTAAAACGAACGACAAGCAAAGAGAAACTGATCAATCATACACTATTATTTTGAAACGAATAATAAACTCGGATTTGTTTTATAATGATTGACAAGTTCTGCGCTTTAGACTAGAAAACTTTGATAGTGATCATTTTTAAATGATAATTGCAAAGGTCATGAAAGCACCGCGGCATTTTTAGCTGTAGTGCCATGTTGAATGTAATGTAGTCTGTTTCGTTTTGTACTTTTTCAAATAAATCGGAGCATTTGGCGCGCTGCTGGCTGCGTTCCGAATACTATTAGGGAGGCTATAAATAAATCTTTAAGGGAATTCCAAGTGTCTAGATGTTCTAATTTGGCCTATGCGCTTTTGAATCATGCATTGCTGAGAGAGTGCATATTTATTGTGGTTTCTAAGTGAAGTGCTTGTAATTTTGTACTTTTCGAGCAATGGGCAAAAAGAGACGTCTCAATCAGCTCATCTCCAAGTGGATAAAGAGGTTGGTGATCAGCAATTGCTTTGTTGAGCTTTAAACGTACAATGCTTTTAATAATTGTTTCATTCTCTTTTATGCAGACCACGAGTATGTCGTCGTCATCATGTATTAATGAATAGCAAAGATATTTAAGTATCTTATATCTAATTTCAATTTATTTGTACTAAGTATAAAAATTAAATTTACAAGGTTTTGCATGTGCCGGTTGAAAGTAATATGACAATGTATAAATAGACATATGAATCTTCTATTTCTTGTACGGTCCACTGTATCGTGTGCATTAGTTTCTTTCTTTAATAAACTTCATTAGAAGCCAGTGTAGTTATAACTTGTAAATATGATAAAGTAGAATGTGAATCATTCCACAAAAAAATAAACCAATTGCGTAGTATACGAGTTAATATTAAATTTGTAACGAAGGAAACAATAACAAATTTTAGAATAGTACTACTGACTATGCAGACACTGAATTGAACAATAAGTATTAATAAAATTTCGACTGGACTTACATGGAGTAAAATTGAAATTTCCTTGGTATATCAATGATTCAACATTTTTAATGAAATGAGACAGAAAAAATCATTAATGTACAAATTTTGGATCTCGGTGAAAAAATTAAGGTAGCAGAAAAATTTCCAAATTTTTTTTATTGATTTTTGAAAGGCTGCAACTTTGTTGGTCGTATCGAGAAAATAAAAAAGTATCTTGAAGCTTGAAGATTCTAGTATCTTCGATGTCTTATGATCTACTGATCGTACTGCAAACGGAAGGTGTGTTTTGAAAACTTGAATCAATCCTCTTTAAGGAACATTTGGTATGTCTGAAATTTTTTTTATACCTAGTATTAATTTGAAAAAGTGCAAAAATGCCTTTTTCTGCTGTTTTAGAAAATCAACGACTACTTTGCAAATATTGCGGAAAGTACCAATGTTTGTATGTTTTTTTTCATGCTCATGAGGCCTGTAAATTTTGAAATCGATCGGTGGAACCGTTTTCCTTTCCTGAATCGTATTATAAAAAATTAAAGGAGCAAGCTTATTACTCCTTAAACATCAATTAATGATGATTAAGATGGAAAAATTATTTTTCTCACAATTTCGCATTAAATACACATCAAAGATCGAAAAAAATCCAAATATTCAAGAAAAAATCAAATTTTTCAAAAATCTTTAGCATTATTTTATCAAAACCTTCCGTTCACTATACAATAATTAGTTCATTAGATATCAATGACCAAAAAAATAGGTGACTTTTCACTCAATAGCCGATATCTCGATGAGAAATAATCGTATATAAAATTAAAAAATTGAACAAAAAAAATTGTAAAATGTTTGCCTTGTATTATTTCTTTTGATTGCGCCGAGAGTGATGCCAAAAAAAATTTACATCTCAAGATTTCAAAGCTAGAATCATCAAGCTTCAAGATGCATTTTTTATTTTCTCGATACGACCATTTACCAGCCCGATACGACCATTACAGCCTTTCAAAAATCACTAAAAAAAAAATTGGAAATTTTTCTGCTCCTTTAACTTTTTTTGCAGAGTTTAATAAAAAAAAATATGGTGCTGAACGAAAACTCGGGTTGATTTCGAAAGTTGTTGACTTTTCCTATTTCCCAAAGATACAGAGACAAAAAGTAATTAAGATGCCTTGGCCATTTTCTATTAATCGAATAACTTATAATCAATCCAATATCATATTTTGAACCAATTTGAACAGAATTGGAGTCCACTGGGATTTTTTTCACGGTAAAACCAATGTAATTTTATTTTTTATAAATTAATAGAAATAATCTACTTCTATACTTTTATTGACAAATCATCACTTAACATGAAAATTAAAAAATTAATAATTAACAGTTCAGTACATTGTCAGTGAATGAAATGAGTAATAAAATCAACGAAAATGCATTAAAAATACTATAATAAGCAACATGTCGATTTGGAAGCTGTTTCTATCATTTTGCGAGGAAGAAGGTTACAAATTAGATTAGAAGACAATACATCAACAACAAAATTGGACGACATATTTAGACTATGGATTTACTATATAAAAAAAAAGAAAACATAATTGTAAGTAAAGTAAAAATAAAATGGCTACAATGACAAACACACCGCTTGGCTTGCAAAAGAAATCTACCATATTGCCGCATATGAACTAGCATGGCGCTGTGGAGAGGGTTTCCACTGTTTAGTGCATTACCTTAAAAGATGAAACGAACGATGCGGGTTTGGCCTCTGAAATAAGTATAACCCGATATTATCAAAAACAGCAAAAGATGGAGCACAAGGATGTGCTAACAGTAAATGGTTAATTCCAAATACCCAATACCTTGATATTTGTCCCATTCAATTAAAAATCATATTCCTCTGGATGATACAAAAATATACCAATAGGATTAAACAAACTCATCGAACAAACTTAAAAAATACCTATTGTTAGCTCAATAAAATTTTAAAATATTACTGACATAATGATAACAATGTTTGTGTCTTATTCTTATTTGTACTTTTGTACAGTTAGTACACAATGAGTGTACTATTTTGACCTGTACTATCAACTGGAATAATAAAATGATGGAAAGATTCTCAACGTGAACTAGTTGCAAAGTTGAATTACACATTTTGAAATATTCTTGGAAAATATTAATCGAAGTAATGGTTTCCTCCAAACTTTTATTTTTTTTAAGGAACCAACCTTTGAAAGTGCTTAAATTTTAATACAAATGTTTTACGATACAATTCAGAAGGACACGCATTTTTCTTATTAAACATAAGTTGACATCCATGATACACTTAATTGTATCATGAAACAATTGAAGTACAAAAAAATATAGCAGTTTTATTGTCTACAGTTGTTTAAAATGACAAACTTTAATAGGATATAGAACACACTCAGTTTACTTCGAAACAGCTTCATCATATTTACTCTTTAATTTTAACATTTTCTGAAAGACAGGATGTTTTACCAGCTTTGACAGAACCTGTAATGTGCTATAACTTCGGTGGCGGATGTCTTCGAGTACAAATTATAAAAAAATGACGCCGAATGACATACTTTAGTAATTATTACTCTTTAATTGGACAAAAAAGTTACTTCTACATAGAAATATACCGAGTAGGATACTGGATTAGAATCCATTTCGTAGTGCTTTTTCATAGATGTGAAATAAAAACTTAATAAAAACTAAAAAAAAATCGTAAATTTTCAAAAATGAAGAAGTTACTAGATATTACATAATACAATCAGTAATGATCGTACGATATTTGTTAAGGTAGAATTCCAAGGAGACCCTTGGACTTTCTTAGAATTAACCGCATTTGACACCCGAGGTAGAAAGCTTTCGGCGTGGCGTTCACCGTAACAGCTTGCAATGCATACTGTGATTTTCAGTTCTTCGGTTATTTTCTTGGAATTCTATCTCGACAAATATCGTACAAAATGTAAACCTTCTGTTTGTATTTCAAGATATTGAGGTGTGGATTTCGGGTTCAATTTTGCTCTAAAACCGAGTCCAAGACATCTTAACTAGTTGTATAGTTTCGAGATATAAATTCGAAAAACTCGCCAAAAGTGTCAAATTGGTACACCCTGATTTAAAAAATTTCTGTAACAGGTGAACTTTTAATCTCGTTCAAAAGAATCCCCACCAACTTTCATTCAATAATACGTTCGTTTTGAAACAGTGTTCTAACATGTCTGTTATTATTAATTAACAAATTCTCAAAAAGTGATCGACAAATTAAGAAAAATAAAACTTAGGTGTATGTATGTATAGAGGATGAAAAAATGATTTTAAATGTTGGTATTCAATTTTTCTTGCAATTTAAGTTTTTTATAGACGGAATTACCGAAGTTAGGGGAACAACGTTACGTTTAATGTCAAAATACGAGGTGCTTGAAAGTATAAATTAATTTGGGTAGACAATTTTTAAAAAACTTGTTTATTTTCATTGAAACGCCTAGACAGTTTTCCTTATAAAAGTTAATATGCCTGTTTCAGCAGCAGTTGGGGACTGATTTGAAACTATTAGAGGTATTTGACCAATTAATTCGCGATCTTAGACTGAAAGTGCGTGGCAACTTAAGTACCGAGTATTATCTGATGTTATAAAACCTAATATATTAATGCAATGATTTATTGTTTGTATGTGAAACACATTTTCTAATTCAGTTTGTTTTCACACAAGTGTATTATTAAAAAAAAATTAAATAGAAATTCGCACCATTAAAAATTAATTTCGAATTCAGTTGCGTAGGTTAATACCTCCAATAAATTATTATAATAGCTAAGTGTGTATTAATTATAATAAAAATGCGCCAACAAAAAATTGGATCCATAATTTTCAGCTAGCGTGGGAATACATCCATAACAATAACTAATCGAATAAATATCAAAGCGTTTGTCTCGCGCACGCATACATCACTTCTGACAAGTCGCTGCCCATGACGAAATCATTTTACTAATCCGCATTTTAAGTCGTGCCTACGCTCCTGCCATTTCCATGTTTATTTTGGTAGACGTTGGAGGGTGTTTGTATCTTTTTTAAATCCACTCGGTAACATAAACAGTATCTTGCTGACAGGGGTGTTAACAGAGCCGTCCAGAGACATTTTCGGACCCTTGATAAGTCTATGGCCCCAGTCCCAGTTGAAAAGATACATTTCTTATTTAATAAAGGTCATAGAAAACACTAAAAATTTATTTAAGAATCAAGGTGAACTGATGGTTGACTTGGCCATTATCGAAAAACGAAAAGAGAAAATAAGAAACGGTAAACGGAGATCTGTTTGGCATGATGATCTAAGTATTTGGGTTAACATTGCAATTTGGTAGATGGACCGCCTTAAGCGCTGTGACGTAATTATTTTTCCCGATTTCACACATATTTTTCCATCATATGACATCATTTTTCTCAACGATTTTTATTAAAAATGTTTTTAATGACTCTTCTCATTCGTAAAATATAAAATTTATTAAGAGAAACACTGGATTGATCTT